ACACTTAAATACTGAAATGCGTTACTTGGGTATGTTTTGTTGTACGTTTCAGATCCCAAATACGCTAGAGGCCGCTGTCTACACTGAAATATACTACTTGGGGTATGTTTTGTTGTATGTTTCAGATGACAAATCCACTAGAGAGCGCTGAACACACTTTTGTGACTGAAACACGTTACTTGTGGTACATTTTATTGTACGTTTCAGATGACAAATCCACTAGAAGGCGCTGTCCACACTTAAATACTGAAATACGTTACTAGAGTACGTTTTGTTGTACACTTAAATACTGAAATACGTTACTAGGGTACATTTTGTTGTACGTTTCAGATGACAAATCTGCTGTCTACACTGAAATACACTACTTGGGGCTTTTGTTGTTTTTTTCAGATGAAAATTTCACTAGAGGGCGCTGTCTACACTTTTATGACAGAAATATGTTACTTAGGGTACGTTTTGTTGTACGTTTCGGATCCCAAATCCGTTAGAGGCCGCTGTCTACACTGAAATACGCCACTTGGGGTGTGTTTTATTGTATGTTTCAGATGACAAATTTACTAGAGGGCACTGTCTACACTTTTGTGACTGAAATACACTACTTGGGCTATGTTTTGTTGCACATTTCAGCTGACAAATCCACAAGAGGGCGCTGTCTACATTTTTGCCCATCTGAAATACGTGACTTTGGGTATGTTTTGCTGCACATTTCACATGACAAATCAACTAGTGGGCTCTCTGAACATTTTTGCAGATCTGAAATAGGTTACTTAATGTATGTTTTGTTGTACGCTTCCGATGATAAATCCACTAGAGGGCGCTGTGAACATTTTTGCAACTGAAATAGGTTACTTTGGGTATGTTGTACGTTTCAGAAGCACATAGTTTCTGTACACATCCTGAGAAGGCTTGTCGTACAGATCACCTAGCGAACCACTAAGCTAAAGTATTCCCAACCAATAGTGTTTTCACAAGGAGATGCAAGACAAATATACATAACTTTCCCATGATGTTACATTGCTTTTATCCGTTTTGTGGTAGCGTGCTTCACCAAAATTGAACCCGGGCGCTCTGCAGCACAACACCCTACAAAGTGAGCTACAAGAAAACTGACCATGCTAGAAAATGTATAGATAGGTGACGCAAAGTATTCATTACAAACCATATGGATTTGTCCTTGTGAATATCATTAATGTGAAAAGGAGTAAAGGTTGTGGTCGTCATACATCCCCCTAGTGTTCTTTCACCAACTAACTGCATTCACACGTGTGTTGAAGTGTGTTTAACAAAAATGTAGACTGAAGCATGTTTTTCCAATGAGCCTGTGTTGGATATAAGAGTATAAGATCTGCAGGATCAGCCCATACTGCGCACTAAACCAGAGAAGATTAATGTGTAATCAATCTCACTGGCTGCGGAATCAGCTTTTGCCATCTTGTATAAAACATGATTGACAGCAGATCACATGTACGGCAGCCACGAGCCTGCACCAGAGTTTCACAACACATAGAGTCAGGCATCTATTATGCTAAAATCTGTTTTATAGGAGGTTTAAACACAATTGTGTGGCAGCAGTGTGTGAATATAACCAGCTTCTAATGGTAAACATTAATAAATATTATTGTTTATAATCAGACTTGACTAAATCAGTCTGCAGAAACACTTTGATTGACATTCTCTCTTTGTACATGTCATCAGATAGAGAAAGCCCCGCCCACTAGTGACCATCTCTCCCTCATTTGCATAGGACGTTAGTCCTGTATTTGAATCTGCCACTATGCTGACACACAAGCATTTGTAGCTCCGCCCTCTTTTGAAACGAGCACAGTCTCATTTGAATTTAAAGCAACAGCTTAAAAAATGCCACAATTAGGACCAAAGCCTGAAACGGTCAGTTTCACATTAGTTGTGTGGATTTTTTTGAGCTGAAACTTCACATACACACTCTAGGGACATCATAGACTTATTTTATATCTTGTAAAAAGGGGTATTATATTTATGCTAAACTCTCTTAAACGCTTTTTTTTTTTATAGGGAGTTCTTTGCTTTTAGCTTATGTGTATTTACCTAATTCAAAACCCAAAAGCCCAGTGTAAAAATATATGATGCACAATGTTATATATATTAGGGCTGAACAATATATGCTTTGAGCATCGGTATTGCAATGTGTGTATCCGCAACAGTGAAATTACAGGCTATTTATTAAAAGATGACGATATTATTAAATATTATTTTTAAATTATATACTCAATAATCACCATGTTATTTTACGCTTGTTGTTAAATTTGTGTACCTGGTGGGACGCTAAGGCAATCGGCCTACAGCCTCATGCCAACGCACGCCTCCCACCAGTGCTGATATACAGCCATATCGCACTGCCACTCGTGTGATATTGCTCATATATATATATATATATATATATATATATATATATATATATATATATATATATATATATATATATATGTATGTA